GAACGATATGACAATCGATTTCGATATGCTTTGTTCGTTCGTGGAATACGTGATTCTCTCCGATGGCGATTGCCGATTTATTATCACAAAAGATGGCAGCAGGCCTAATCATCTCAATCTGTAAATCATGAAGCAATGTAATAATCCACTGGACCTCACAGACGGTTGCGGCAAGAGCCCGATATTCAGCCTCGGAGGACGAACGAGAAACAGTGGCTTGTTTCTCCGTTCTCCACGAAACGGGAGCAGTACCAAGAAAAATGCAGAAGCCAGTCACTGATCTACGTGTCTCCGGACATGATGCCTAATCAGAATCGGAGAATACGTTCAACTGCATTGCGCCATTCCTGGGGTAGAATATCCCTTGACCGGGAGCTTTCTTTATGTATCTTAGAACACGGTGTGCTGCGACTAGGTGCTCATTTGTGGGTGTATCCACGAATTGACTCAGTTGTTGTACCGCATTGTGATATCCGGCCTTGTAGCGGTGAGATATAGGAGACGCCCAACCAGTCGTCTATAGCTGCTGGAGTCCTGAAGCAAAGTACCTCCCTCTTTCTGCAATTGATGGCCAGGAACCATGGGAGTGCTCACTGGCTTACAAGAAAGGAATCCTTCTTCATTCAATATGTCTAGAGCATACTTTCTTTAACACAAGTTTAACCCATCATTACTGATATGAGCTTCAATGCCTAAGAAATACCCCAAGCTTCCTAGATCCTTGATTTTAAAAGTAGTGTCAAGAAAGCACTTAAGTTCTTTAATCAAAGCCAGATTAGAACTTGTTACCAAAATGTCATCAACATATATTAATGTGGCAATAAACTGCGTACCCTGACCTTTAATGAACAATGATGGATCTGATTTTGACTGTTCAAACCCTTTGCTCATTAAGGCATCACTCAATCGTGAATTCCACTGTCGGCTAGCTTGTTTCAAACCGTACATTGAGCGAAGGAGTCTGCAAACTTGTCTCGGTTTCTCAGCTTGAAAACCGGGTGGGATGGTCATATAAACTTCTTCATTTAGGCTGCCATGTAAAAAAGCGTTGTTAATATCAAGTTGGTGTATGTGCCATCCACGAGATGCAGCCATGGCTAGGAAGATTCGAATAGTAGTGAGCCTTGCCACCGGTGAGAAGGTTTCAATATAATCAATTCCTAGTTGTTGGGTGAAACCTTTGGCAACCAACCTGGCTTTGTACCGTTCTATGGATCCATCCGCTTTAAGTTTTACCTTGTACACCCATTTGCATCCAATAGGTATTTTCTCGGGTGGTAAATCAACGACTTTCCATGTGTTGTTGTCTTGTAAAGCTTTGATCTCGGCTGCCATTGCCTCTTTCCAACAATCTTGCTGCACAACTTGATTGTATGTTTTTGGCTCATCAACTGAAGTAACACCCATTGAGAACATCATGTGTGACTGTGCAAGTTTTTCATATGAGATGACTTTAGATAAGCAATGAGGAGATGAATTTCCACCCATAATTGCATCACAGTGATAGTCCTGTAATCTGGTTGGGGCATGTCGAATTCTATTAGATCTTCTAGGCTGTGCAAGGGACATTATGTCAGTCTAAATTTCATGCATAGCTTCTTGTGGTTGGTCCTGTTCTTCATCTATATGGATCTGAGATTGTTGATTATTAGTAGTTGAAGATTGCATGTCAAAGGGTAACTGGCTGGGACTAGGAACATTTTGATGATCTGGTTCAAATTCCATATTGGTGGTTGTAGGGATCACAGGTAGTGAAGGCTCAGATTGTGACCTCTGTGCTTGTTGCATTACTTCTTGCTTAGACATGGGAAATTGTTTCTCATAGAATATCACATCTCTAGAGATAAAAATAGAGCCATCCTTGAGGTCATATAGCAAATAGCCCTTCGTACCGGCTGGTATGCCAATAAAAACACATTTCTTTCCTCTCGGGGCCATTTTGTGTCTATTTAGAGGCAAGGTAGCAGCGAAGCAGAGGCAACCAAACACCTTGAGATATTCCACGTTTGGCGCCTTCTTGTATAATTTGTGATATGGACTGGTCCATTTAATTACTGGAGACGGCATCCTATTTATAAGGAATGTGGCGTGCATAACGCAATGCCCCCAAAACTGCAATGGGAGATTAGCTTGAAACCTAAGGGATCTAGCAACATTAAGTATATGTTGGTGTTTTCGCTCCACTATCGCATTTTGTTGTGGTGTGTTAACACACGATCGTTGGTGGACAATGCCCTTTTCTGAAAAAAATTCTTCCATGTTAAATTCATGTCCGTTGTCGCTGCGAATCACCCTGATCATAACACCGAACTGTATAAGAACATAAGCATGAAACTTACGAATGAATTGCCTTGTCTCGGACTTGGTTTTCATTAAATGCAACCAGGTAAACCTTGAATAATCATCCACAATGGTGAGAAAATATCGCTGTCCTTCAAGAGAACAGACTGGGAAAGGTCCCCAAATATCAACGTGGATAAGATCAAAGCATGCATGAGAAGTGCTAATACTCAAAGGGAACGGAGAACGCTTCTGTTTAGCCAAATGACATACATCACAAACCAAGACTTTGTTTTTATCTAAAGAAATATTAGAAAACAAGTGCAACTTATTAATTGGGAAGTGCCCCAATCTTTGGTGCCAAATCTCTGCACTATTACACTGCATAACAAATTTCTTTTCTGATATTTTTGCTGACTCTTGAAGCACGTATAATCCCCCTTCATGTCTAGCTATACCAGCCATCATACCATCCTTCTGAATCAAACACTGTCCAACCACAAATGTCAGTTTATAGGAAGAGTCTTGGATTAATTTACTCACGGATATGATGTTGAATTTGAATGTGGGAATATGCAAAGCGTCCCTTAACCACAAATTGTTGCTCAGCTTAGCATCTCCTATGTTTTCAACATTAACATGCTGGCCAGTAGGTAAGTTCACAGTAGCTCCACTGGCTTTGTGATGATTAACAAGGGAGTCAAGGGAGTATACAATGTGGTTTGTAGCTCCCGAATCAATAATCCAAGTGGATGGACATAAGGCTAGGGAATTAACATGAGTTATACCTTTGTCAGTGGGTTGAACTTCATCAAAATTTGCTACTAGTGAGACCGCTGCACTAGTACTGGAGTTAGGAATTGATGAAGTCTGTCCTTTCTGCATCTAGAGGATAGAAGCTATCTTCTGCAGTTGATCTGTTGTGATGCCTAAGTCTCCAACGTCATTGGCAACTGCTGCATTAACTTGTTTCCCTTTTGATTTATAGCCAGGCACCCACCCCGGGGGGTGATGAATGTCTAAAACTAATGCTTTTTCCTTACACATTTTGGTATTTTTACTTGTTAATCATTATATTATTGAGCCAATTTGGTAACTTATGGAATGATTGTTTGTGCTTAGGTGACTTGACAAGAAAATGATGTTTTGAGCCAAACATTGAGTTATTTGATCAAGATTTCAAGCCATCATAGCATGAGGATATTTTTGTGAGGCAAAATGAAGAAAAGAAGATTGAACAACACCCTTCCATGTGCCAAATATTTGTGCCTTAGTGGTCTTGATGATATAGGCAATTCAAAGCAAAGGCAAAGCAAAAGATAGTAAGGTGGCATTTCTCGCCCAGATTGGTGCAGTCTCCGTATTTTGACCATATCTCGGTCTAGGAGTGTCCAAATGAAGTGATTTTTATATAATTGGAAAGCTAACTTCAAGGGCTACAACTTTGATGAAGACCACAAACGCTAATTCAAAGGTTTTGAGGGTGAAAACTGGCCTAGAAGACGACCCTAGTGCACAGGCAGTGCACACTGCCTGTGTCCACGGGTCTGGCCACGGCCGTGGCCACACCCGTGGCCACTGGGCAGTGTGCCCTGCATTTCTGGCCACGGGTGAAGCCACGCCCGTGGCCACACCCGTGGCCAGCCCTCTGCAACTTTTTGCAGCCCGTTTTTTACCCTTTTAAGGGGATTTTTCCACCCCAAAACATATCTTTCATTACATCTTTCATTACACTTTTCATTTCTCTTTCACTCCACAACTAGGGTTAACTTTAGAATAGCTTAGATAGGTGTAGATTGGTTGTTTATTTCCATTTCCAAGCTCAAGAACATTGCAAATCTTGGATTTCAAGACTTCAATAGAGAAGTGTTCTTTTTATCTCTTCTCTTTACTTTTCATTTATGCTTTCAATTACTTTTTCAACATTGTGTATCTTTTGTTATATTATGAGTAGCTAAGTGTTTTGGGACTAGGATTTGGTTTGATTTCTTGCTATTGATGCCCATTTGAGTTGTATTGCATAAAGGGGATTATTTGGGTGATCTAGGGTTGTTGTGTGAAATGGGTTTGTTGAGAAATTTGTGTATGATTGTTGGATCCCAATTATATGCTTGATTTGGAGTGTGTTTGTTGCTACGAGAGTAGAGCTTGTACACTAGCCACACATTCACGCACTTAATGCCTAATACGAGAGTATTTCGGGTATTAAGGAGATTTATTGCCTTGTGTTCTTGCTTGGGCAACCTTGGGTTGAATTGCCACGAGAGTGGAGTTTAAGGTGAGGTTGCAAGTCCAAATAGCTACGAGAGTGGTATTTGGACACTTTTGTGCATCTCACTTACCCTAAGCCTCGATTTAATTCCCTAATCTTTAGTACAATATTTGGCATCCAAGTCCTGGTCCTTTGTTTTACTTGTCTTATTTGTTATTAGCTTAATCATATCAAACCAACTCCTTATCGATAGGTCTAGCTTCTAAAAGGGTAGCTTTAGCTTGTGCTTAACTCCACTTTACATCAATTCCTAACATTACAAGAGCCATCTCCAGTGGAACGATATCTAAACTCTATACTGTGATTTGATACTTGATGGATGTGTGAAAAAATGTCCTCATCAGGGGGTAACCATGTTTTTTATAGCATTTGTCCACAGTGTGACCCACCATGCCACAGAAGGTGCATTTTGGCCTTGCTACATTATTTCTTCTGCCATTGTAAGCATTCAGAGCTGCTGTAACAGCTCCTTCACCTGCGAAACTTTCATTGCTTTGCACTGCATTAGATAGATTAGGATCCAGATTCCCTAAATTTAAGCTGGTCAGACTGATTTGTCTTTCCAGTTTCTCTGCCATAACATAGACTTTATATACCTCAGGTAGGGGATCCAAAACGAGAATATTAGATTTCAGACTATTATAATCATCATTCAGCCCCTGCAAAAATCTGATTACCTGATCTACATCTCTTTCTTTTCGGATTTCATCCACTATGTCACACGCACACCTTGGATTGCATTTGCAAATGGGAAGTGGCCTCAACGTGTTCATCTCTTCCCATAATGTGCTGCTCTTGGTGTAATAATCACTCACAGACATTAGACCTTGTTTCATATTGTATATCTCATTTTGTAGAATGGAGATCCGCTGAGCGTCACAGTGCGAGAATCTTCTCCGTAGATCCTCCCAAATTTCTCTGCCTTTGTCAAGATGCATTAAACTTTGTGCGATCGAAGGGTGCACCGCTTTGAATAGCCACGAACAAACCAACAGGTTGCAGCGTCTCCATGCCAAATACTGTGGATGCTCTCTGCTAAGCGGCGTGATGCTTCCATCGATCAAACTCCACTTATTTTTAATCTCTAAGGCAATACGCATGCTAACGCACCAAGTTCCATAGTTGGAACTCCCTACCAGTGGTGGACTAACCAGCACAGCTGACGGGTTGTCGTTGATGCCTAGGATGAGCGGATTCTCCAACTCCTTTGCATTGAGACTTCTCTGTTGATTGACTTGATTCCTCTGCGGAATCGTTCCTGGAACAGTGCTAGCCGGTGATTCTGAGATTGGAGGGTCGGCTTGCGTAGTTTGGTTGACGTCGCTTGTGCCGGAGATGGTGGCGTCGTTTGTGCCGGAGACGGCGGCGGCGTAAGAGTGGCGTCCATGTTCTGATACCATATCGGAGATGGATGATGAAGGCTATGCGAGAGAATGAACAGAGGGTCTCATTGATGAGCTGAATAGGAAGCAACTTATCAACGTTGCTGTTTACATTCTAGCTAAATACGAATAAAAGGACGATTACACTTCATAACTGATTATAGATGGGGAATTACATTGTTGCCCCATTGCTACTCTCTGTTACAATCCCACCGGAATTGCTCCGGGGTGATATTGATTATGATCTTGTTTCTCCATTGTTGCCGCCTTTTATACTGCTCTAGCTCCAACCGTAACTCCATGATTCAGATCGGGAATAGCCGCAGAAAATTCTTGAAGCAAGGATTGTCGTCGAAAATCTTCCCGCTATTTAATCGGATCACCAGAGGACTTCATCTGCGGAATACTGATTCGCTGAGCTCTGTGCCTTTCTTCTCGTAAGTAATTTTGACTTTCTGAAATCTATTAAATAGGCTAATAATAATAATAATAATAATAATAATAATAATAATAATAATAATAATAATAATAATAATAATAATAATAATAAAGTTATTAGAGACCATATATAACTAATCTACATTTATTAAACTCCTACTGAACATGTACTACTAAAATTATAATTATTATTAAATCAGGATCAACGGATTATTGGACTAATAGAATTCAAATGATAAAATAAATTTAATAAAACAACCTAAAATGAATAATATTAACAAAGTTATTTAATCAAAATAATAAATAAAACTATATATAAACTAATCAATTATTGTAAATTAACTATAAAAATATCATTAAAAATAACACTAAAAATAATGTTTATCAGCAGGTAGAGAAGAAAAGTGGTATTTCGACAGCGGCTGTTCGCGTCATATGACGGGAAATGCAAAATTTCTAAGTGACATCAATGAAAGCAAATGCGAAGTAACCTTTGGTGATGGCGTCAAAGGAAAAGTCACTGGAATAGGTACTCTAAACGTTGTTGGACTACCCAAGCTAAGAAAGGTGCTGCTGATAAAGGGACTTCACGCCAATCTCATAAGTATCAACCAACTCTGCGACCAAAATTGGAACGTGTGTTTCACAAAAGACAACTGCAGTGTCATGGATAAAGAAAGACAATGTGTAATGGAAGGTAAGCGATCAACCGACAACTGTTACATCTTAACAAATGATGTTCTCTACAGCAGGTCCAACGTTAATGAGTCAGAGTTGTGGCATAAAAAATTGGGTCACCTAAATTATAGATCTCTTGACAAACTCATAAAGATAGAAGGAGTTCGTGGTCTACCCAAGATGAAAATCAACTCAATTGGCGTTTGTGGTGCTTGTCAAACTGGAAAGCAAACCATAACTTCTCATCCAGCACAAAAAGCTATCAACACCAGTCACTGCCTGGAACTAATCCACATGGACCTTATTGGTCCAACTCAAACGGAGAGCGTTGGAGGTAAGAAGTATATTTTGGTATGTGTTGATGATATTTCGCATTTTTCTTGGGTAATATTTCTTAGGGAAAAATCCGAAACACTTGGAGCCTTCAAAGCGTTGAGTCTAAAACTTCAAAAGGAGAAAGACGAACCAATCATTAGAATTCGAAGTGATCACGAGCGAGAATTCGACAACAACTCATTCAAAGAATTCTGCAATCACTTTGGAATCTCTCACGAGTATTCTGCACCAAAGACTCCGCAACAAAACGGAGTAGTTGAGAGAAAAAATCGCACCATTCAAGAAATGGGTCGAGTCCTACTTAATGCAAAAGTTTTACCTCAAAAGTCCGGGGCTGAAGCTGTGAATACTGCGTGGCATATCATAAATCGAGTATACTTTCGACCTGGCACAAATCAAACTCCATATGAAATATGGAAAGGTAAAGAAACCAAACCTTAAATATTTCCATATGTTTGTCTCACGATGTTTTACTTTGAAGGATAGAAATCTCACTGCAAAATTCGAACCAAAAAGCGACGAAGGGATTTTTCTTAGATACTCGACAAATAGCCGGGCATATCGGGTATACAACAAAGTCACCAAAACAATCATGGAATCTACAAATGTTGTGGTTGATGATCAACCGGATGAAGTTATTGAAATATCGCAACCTGGACTAGTGCCAGAACCTGATACAAATAATCCAGAATCTCCTGAACCAGATCTAGAGTCTTCTACACCTATTTTAGCGTCTGCTCAACTTGATCCCGAACCAGACTCTAAGTCAGAATCAGAACAAAGTGAAATAGATGTGAAAAACTACCCTATTCAAAATATTATCGGAGATCCAAGTTCTGGTGTCCGGACTAGAGGGAATCCAAAGTGAGATTATCTTCAATTAGCCGAATATGTATGTTACACATCAAAGATCGATCCCAAAAAACATGAAAGAAGCCTTATTGGACGAGCACTAGATCAAGGCCATGCAAGAAGAACTATGGCAATTCAAAAGAAATAAGGTATGGGTTCTAGTTCCTAAACCTAAAGGTGTTAATGTTGTAGGTACCAAATAGATATTTCGGAACAAAACAGGCTACTCTCAAATTGAAGGAATCGACTACGACGAAACGTTTGCACCTGTTGCTCATCTAGAATCATGTCGTCTATTCCTTTCTATTGTCTGTGCCTTGAAGATAAAACTGTTCCAGATGGACGTTAAGACGACCTTCCTAAACGGATATCTAACTGAAGATATCTATGTTGCTCAATTGAAAGGATTTGAAGATCCTCATCACCTGGACTACGTGTACAAGCTAGAAAAAGCGTTGTATGGTCTAAAACAAGGCCCAAGGGCTTGGTATGAAAGGCTAACTCAATATCTCCTTCAACATGGCTATAATCGAGGGGGAGCTGACAAAACGTTGTTTATTAAACGGTCAGGTAAGCACTTAACTGTAGCTCAAGTTTACGTTGATGACATTGTTTTTGGATCTACTCAGACATGTGCAACTGATCAACTTGTCAAAGTCATGCAACAAGAATTTGAAATGAGTATGATCGGCAAGCTGACCTATTTCTTGGGATTACAAGTAAATCAGACAAGTGAAGGCATCTTTATATCTCAAGAAAAATATGCAAAGAACCTGCTAAAGAAATTCGGTTTAGAATCTGCTAAGGATGCTCGAACCCCTATCTCAACTACTACAAAGCTATTCAAGGATGAAAATGGAGTCTCTATTAACCCTACCCTATATAGAGGTATGATAGGAAGCTTATTGTATCTAACCACAAGCAGACCGGATATTCTGCTAAGCATTGGGATGTGCGCAAGATATCAAGCCAATCCGAAAGAATCAAATCTAAAAGCTGTGAAACGTATTATAAAATACGTCAAAGGTATGCTAAATTACGGTATTTGGTTCTCTAATGATACTAAGCTAAGTCTTGCAGGATTTAGCGATGCCGATTGGACCAGAAATGCTGATGACAGAAAAAGTACATCTGGTGGTTGCTTTTTCATTGGTAAAAACTTAGTCGCTTGGCTAAGTAAGAAGCAAAATTCAATCTCGCTTAGTACAGCTGAAGTTGAGTATATCGCCGCTGGTAGCTGCTGCACGCAATTACTTTGGATGCGTCAAATGCTGTATAACTATGGCCTAAATCAGAATAGCATGACTCTCTATTGTGACAACACTAGCGCCATCAACATTTCTAAAAATGTGGTTCAGCATTCCAGGACAAAGCGCATCGACATTCGTCACCATTTTATTCGTGAGTTAGTCGAAAAAAAGAAAATAGAATTGGATTATATTTCAACTGGAAAAAAAAAAAAAAAAAAAAAAACTTGGCAGAATTATTCACCAAACCTTTGAAAAAATCAAGATTCGAATTGCTACGGACAGCTCTTTGAGTCTGCAAGACTGCAACCCATTAAATTAAGAGAATATTTTTTTTTCTTAATAAAATCAGGTAAAATAAATTAAATAAATTGTTTTTTGTTATCTAATAATCCTACTTGGTGTTTCAGATAATATGTTCGCAGACTCAGTATAAAACTGACAACTCTTCTCGCCATCATCATCGCTCATCTCAGTTGAAGAGTCCACATTTACCAAAATTTTTATTCTGATATTACATTATTCCAAAGAAAACCCTAAGGCTCCCCACACTCCGGCCTAACAGAGCATTTAGGAGGATGTAAATCATGGTGACTCAACCGAACATGAATCATAAAGGCTAGACCGGTGCTCACTGCGCACAAGGAGTCCTCTTCACTTTGAGAGGTTACTCCCACACTGCCGCTGATGAGACTTGATCCTTGGTCATTATTGCAAAATTTCACCTCTATAACCAATTGAGCTACCCATGCGGGTTGATTGTATTACATTGCCTTTGGATATTCAAACTCAATCTTTAAGCTTATCCCTTTTCAAAAGCCTATCTTATAGCATTAAATAAGAGTTCTATATCAAATCAATCTTTTCCTCACATTACATCAGCTCACACTCACCAAAAAATCCCTTAAATTATTTTTTTTGTTTTTCTTTCTTATACTTCACCATACGCACGAGACCACTCCCATCTATACACTTCGTCTTCTTCGCCCATTACTTCCTCCATAGCCAAATTTCCTCAAAGCTCCAAAATCATGGCTAACCCGTTCACAATCTACAAGTCAAAATCAGAAAGGCTCTCACTTTACCGTCGGATAATCGACGCCGAATCCCCTCTCTCGCCGGAATCCGAAAATCGCCTCTTAGCCACCATTAAACAAAACCCCAAGCTGGTGGAGGATCTAACTACTAAGGAGTCTCGCCAAATCCAAGCCCTTGCTCACAGAGTCCCCGCGGAACCGTGGCCTATGCCACCGGCGACTGACGACGGCGAAACCAACACGGCCGACGAGCTTGCTTATCTTCAACAGCCTTTGGTAACTTCTTTCCCTACCTCTGTAAAAGGTACTTGCTCATTACCCACTTCTAGAAAATTAAATTTTTCTATTCACATGCCTGCTCAGTTTGATGCTCCTGTTCCAATGCATGCATGTACTAAATGTGTCTTCTTCTGAAGAATTATTTGTTCAA